ACAATCAACAAACTGGTAATTGACTATGAGGTGGCCTTGAGCATATCCAGATCCATCAGTGTCCAATTGTTGAAACACACTAAAATCCAAGTCTAACCCTCCATTGCTGCACTGGTCAACTATCCTCACTGTTACTTGAGCCCCAGTCCCTGTATTTGTCACCTGTATTCTCACAACATATATGAATATGGATTAGTTCTTGATCTATTAGTTTTGTGTCCTCAAGTCCTACCCAATAATACTTTACAAATCTTCCGTTTTTAGTTTTTTAGTTATTATGGTATTTTAAATTTGAATTATGCAAAAAATAAAATAAAATACAAAGCTCATAATTAAATATTAAATTATATATGTGTAACTAATAAAAGAAGGTCAATATATCATTTTTTTTATACGAATAATATTATTATACATAAACAAATTTTTCATTAAAAAAATAGTTTTATCCACACATTTATATGAACAAAATACAACTTTTGATTAGTTCAAAACAACTATATATCCAAAAAGTATATTAATCCTATTCAAAATTATTAACTTCACCATTTTGGACCAATTAAACTTGTGTGTGAACAAAAATCAGATTGTTTCATTAAATTTTCTTATCATTAAACATAAAAGAATAATGCTTGGGACTCCCTTTTGGGGGTCACCCCCTCACCCCCCTTTGCCACGTGGCAGGGGGTGATTGGTGGAGCAGGAAAAAAAAGAAAAAGAAAAAGAAAAGGTAACCAATGAGAGAGAGAAAACAACTATATATCCAAAAAGTATATTAATCCTATTCAAAATTATTAACTTCACTATTTTGGACCAATTAAACTTGTGTGTGAACAAAAATCAGATTGTTTCATTAAATTTTCTTATCATTAAACATAAAATTAGTAGTGTTCACTTCAGTAAATACATTTGGGACAACCCGAGTCTTTATGTAAGGGTTAAAGAAGGATTTAAACTTGACTCACAAGTAAACACAATCCACAAGAAGCTTGGCCAGTCGGACCAACTGGTCCACAGAAGGCAGTCCATCCATATTTGCTCCGCCACGAGAGAGGCATATTGGCATCCCAAGTTGAGCAGAACGCGCTCACTGCATTCAAGTCCCAGCCCACCTGCGCCGCGTTATAAAAATTGTACGTGGCACGAACATTAGAAGCACTCTGGGCGTCTCCACCGGTGATCAGACATGAGATGAGCAAAATGTAAAGACCAATTCCGAATCTAAATCTCCCCATTTTGCTTTTTCTTTTTGGTTTTGGTTTTGGTTCTGGTTCTGGTTTTGCTTGTGCTGATGTATATATAACAAAAAGTCTTCTTCTTCATCCAGGAGAATAGCTTTATCTAAGGGAGTGTCTATCCTGTAATTTACTAAAACAACCTTGCTGTTGTGTGAGATTAAGAGGATTGGGGCATTTCCTAAACACATCAAAAATTTTAAATTAAAAGTAAATAAATAAATAAATTGAAAACTCACTAAAAAAAAATACCCAACTACCTCTCTGTATCTAAGTTGATAAATGTAAATGGACAGAATTGACATAAAAGCATATTCCACCTGATATGCTTAAATTTCACATGGAATAGACATAGACTTCAATTTTGCCAAATGTTAAAGTAAAAAAATAAAAATAAAAATAATAAGTTCGACATAGTCAGTATAGTGTCTCTATTGAGAGAAGTCAAATTCTTAAGGACAATATTTATTATGTCAGAATATTCATTTTTATGTTTGGTTCAATAAAAATGAAAGAAATATACATTTTAAATGAAATCACAATTCATCAAATTTAGAAAAATGGCCATTTTACTGGGAGACTACAGAGATAAAGATTAAGCACACTTCATTTTCTACCTCCGACTGACAATTAGATTGAGATCATCACATCTCTGGACCAAACTTTCATTATGATTATTAGAAGATAGAATATGCAATAGGAAATATCGTATCCGTAACCAACCTTCACTAAAAATTATTTATTTCCTACTTGTTTAAATTTAGAATATGTACATCTTGACTAAATTTAAAATTTTAAAATAAATTTTTAATAAACAGAGTGACTCGAGTACTACCTTATAATACAACAATTAATACATACAAAAATATAAAAACTCGAAGTGTGGATAAGGAAGGAAGATGCACTCCGAGGATGATGGCTACTATGTGAGGTGAGGCGGCTATAATGAAAAGTCAAGACCAATTGGGCACTTAATTTTATTAAATTAACCTTTTTGATGAAGTGTTAAACCTACCACCCCAAAATAATAATAATAAAGTACTAATTGTTTTGCATTAGCACTTCATCACAAAGGTTAACTTAAAAAATTATATATCCAATTTTTCTACAGTATTCCTACAAATTCATAATTTTATTTAGAATTTTACCTAATTTATCAATGGTTAACCCCACGCAACACCAATTTAATTTTTTACCGTACAAATTTATTCTGGATCAAATTTTCGAATACTCATTATGGGACTCTAGGATTTCTGATTTGCCTCACTTTCAAGATTAAAGCCTTTTGCATTTAATTATGATCATTACATATATATATATATATATATTAAAAAGTTATTTTATTTTGTTTTGCATTAGCACTTCATCACAAAGGTTAACTTAAAAAATTATATATCCAATTTTTCTACAGTATTCCTATAAATTCATAATTTTATTTAGAATTTTACCTAATTTATCAATGGTTAACCCCACGCAACTCTAATTTAATTTTTACCATACAAATTTATTCTGGATCAAATTTTCGAATACTCATTATGGGACTCTAGGATTTCTGATTTGCCTCACTTTCAAGATTAAAGCCTTTTGCATTTAATTATGATCATTATATATATATATATATATTAAAAAATTATTTTATTCACACATGGGTCCCGTTTTTATAATCTAAACCGCTCAATATATAAAATTTGTCGAATACTATATGCTTATAAATCACGTTGATCGGATATCAATGACTATTTCATCGAATTAGATTTCTGCCAACTATTTATTTTTTTACCGTCTATTTTCTTTTATACAAAATTAATATGATTACGTAACTATCGATATTCGATCAATATGATTTTTTATAAGTATATTATACTCGACGAATTCTACAAATTAAATAATTCAAATTATCAAAACGAAACCTACGATAATCTATACAGATCCAATAATTCTCTTCAATCTGATCAGACGGGAGGAAACTAAACCCTTTTTATTTGTCTCCATCAAAATTAAAAAAGGCATTTTTATTTGTGAAAGTCCTGCACACATTTTTTTGATTCAACACTGCTACAGACCCCCACTGGGGGTCGACCCCCAGTAACATGGCGCAACGCCATTCGTCAATTTTTTTTTTTTTTCTTTCTTTCTTTCCTACCAATCACCCACAACCACCTGGACTGGGGGTCACTGGGGTCGCCCCGTACTGGGTCCCCCGTATTTTCCTTTTTGATTTGAGTGAGATTTGTATCATCTTGACACGTGGGTTGGGGTCAAATTGGCACCGTTTCATTAATTTCTTTTGTCCTTTTATATATTAATTTCTTCTGTCCTTGTATATATTATAGGTGAAGAGTATCCTGTAAATCTTTTTTGTATTTTTATATTTGAGCACCACCCCCGCAACAATTCTAAACGGATAACTTTTCTTAGAAAATATTCTCTTAATTTTTTAATTTTTATTTTTGATGGTGGTAAAGGTGGTGGCGGCATTTGCGGCGGCAATAATAGAGATAATAGCGGTGGCTGTAGTGGTGGTAGTGAAAATAGCAGTGATAATATGATAACATTGATAAGATTTTAATTTGAAATTTACTTTTTGTCTTTTGAAAGTAAAAAATATATTTTACATAAATAAGTTTGTTTTCCTTTAACTTTCGTTTTTCATTGTACCAAATATCAAGACATACGAAAAAATATTTTTTAAGAAATATTTTCTGTCCAAACAAACGGAGTATCACTCTAACCTTCACTTTTTCTAACAAAACGATGGATTAGTAAATCTATCAGACATAAAGCCTAATCCGATGTCTCAATCCCATGAAACAAACGCTCCTTTAAACTGAGTGCCATTCGTTAGCATAGTCCGCCATATATCTCGGTATGAAGTGGGGAGGGAGATTCAGGAAGACCTCAGAGTCATGTCCGCAACCGAGCTTTTTAGCAGCGGCCTTCCAACCACATTTAAAGAAAATATCATTTGCGGCTTCGCACTGTTGGACATAAGTCTCATCTCCTTCCTTGAAGCCTCGGTCCTCTGCGTCCTGTATTTTTTTCTTTATGGCCTCCAACTCAGCATTCTTCTTCCTCTCCAGCTTGGCCAGCTCTCGCAGACGGTCTTTCTTCTCGGCCAATGCTTTCTGTTTGTCAACCTCTGTCGTGCTGACCAGTTCAGCTAGCCTTGCATTTTCGATTTCTAGCTCGGCCAGCTTGGCCTTAGCCTCTTTTAGCTCGGCTGCCTTGGCATCTGCGTCAGCAATGGCTGACCGCGCTGTCTTCCGCAGCGCAAGTACCCATTTATGAGCCACTTGGCTCTTCTGCAGGGCCTGTGCAACATTCAGAACAGTTATGGAAAAACCAAAGAATTGGGACCATCTTGGTATCATTGGTTGAATTATAGGTATTTTGGAACTTACCAATATCATCGACTTAGACGCCGAGCGAATGGCCTTCAGCTTGGTCAGGCCCTGATGCCGCTTTATGTCAGGTAGGCAGACGCACTTTCCCAAATTAAAGGCCAGAAAATGATCCTTCTCGGCACTAACAGAGTCAGAGGCCATTATTGCGCGACTCCCTGAAGGTGACAGATGGTGCCCACACCAATGGTGTGGGAGGATTTGAAGGGCTAGGTCGGTCGCGACCTTGGGAGTGAGTTATTTCTTAAAACTCGGTTTCGAATGGCTCGGTGTTATCCTCATCCCTCAATCGTTGTGTGCGTGTTCGCTTGTTTGGCCAAGACGACGAAGCTCGGGTTGTAGGGAGGGCCACCACAGCCTCGTGTGTCTAACCGGCCTGTGGTGCCTCGGTTTGAACCTCGGCAATTGGAGTTATGGTTTGTTCGGTGATTAAGGCGCGGACAGCACGGCGCTTGGCCATTTCTTGTTCTTCCGTAAAGGGAATAAGGTTGATTTGGGACGAGTTTGGGTCCGGTTCAGGTGATGGTTCGAGGAGAAAATCAGTCACCCTGGTCTTCTTCATTCTGCTATACCGGTAGGTCGGTTCGAAGTTAAGCAGCTCAACCCAACCACAATGACGGTATCGGAGTGCAGCACGAAGGGCATCTTGGTTGGCGTATGGGTAATATGATTTAAGCTGGTTTAAGTCTACACAAAAGAAAGACAAAATGCTTGTGCAAGCCCGGTGTAAAATTATAGCCTGGAACAGCAAAACAAAAACAAAAAATTAAACCGAGGTATTTTTACCAGCAGTCCCTTTATTCCAGTTTATGTTATAGCCTGGTATCTGGGCTTCCTGACCTTCAAAATTTCCTGAAACCCAGAAAAAATCGTCATCATTTAAGTCTTTATCCGATGTATTTTTTATTATTTTCTCTCGGCCTCTTCTTATCCTTAAATAGTACACCCAACCGTCTTCATTTTGGCCGAGCGAATATTGGTGAGAAAGCTCGGCCAATTCGAGGTTGAGGCTGAGCCGGCGGTTTAGCTCGGCAATGCCATTTATTATTCTATAGGTGTTGGTGCTGAGTTGGGTTGGGCATAATCTTGTCTGCCTGAGGAACACGCATATGAGTGGCTGTATAAGGAACCGGAGGCCGGCCTCTGCAATTGATATTACGGTGAAAGGAACGAAGCGTGGTTTTCCCCAGGACGTGGTATCTAGTTCGGCTAAGGAAAGGTGGACATCGTCAGGGATATGGTAGTCTTTTCAGAATTCGGCGATAGCCCCAGGTGAGTTTACCAGGAAGCAGTATTTGCCCATTAACCTTAAGGGTTGTTTAAAAAATAGCACAACCGCCTAGCTCGGTGCTGAGGTGGCTTTGATGGCTCGATTGAGAAAATGGCACCAAGGGGGCAAGGTACAAAAGTGTGCCTGGCCAATCTAATCAAGTCTGCAAAGTGGAGATAAAAAGTGTTATGCCCAGATGACTGGACTGAGCTAAAGCAAGAAGGCAAAGTAAACACAATCCTAGGATGGTTAAATGGGTTACAACCCGTTCTTAGTTTAGTTGTGAGGCAAAATGGGCTCAAGGTTTTTAGCTTGGTTATTAAGCACAAAGGATCCTAGTTCGGTTATGTACAGGCCTACCACAAACAGGTCCCTAGCTCGGTTATAGTGCTATTTTGGATCAAAAGCTCGTGTTCCAGATTAATTGAAAATCCAGCTAACAGGTTTTGCGGTTTAAGGATGTGGTTTCTGGGGTTTCAGTGGTCGTTACACATACACGTGAAGCTAAAGTATTGCGTTTTAGTAAATATATATATATACTATATATATTCGTAGAACAACCAAAAAGAAAGGGTTTGAGCAACTTACAGATTTAAACAAGAGGACGAAGACCAAATAGCAAGAATGCCAACAAGAACACGTACGAAGCAGGTGCTATGGTCTTGAATATGGAGACTTAGGAGGTGAGGGAGAGAAGATGAATAGTAGGAGTGTTTGATTCAAAAGATGGCTTTTTTGTATAAGCACGAGAATGGGCGGGACTATTCAAATTTTCGTAGTACAAAGACGGGTGTGGCAGGTGCACTTGACTAGTGGGAGCACGCCACATGTTTAGAGGAATAAATGACAATTCAGACGTGCTTGAGAGGTGGAACGACGTGCAGAGCAACTGACAAGATGTTCTTGGACCGGGCAAATCGGTAGCCCGGTAATATTTAAGCTCGGTTGGAGTCTTGAACATTTAGCTTGGCTGGTAAAGAGTAATCTCAAATCATGCGTTGCAGATGGAATTAAGGGGCAATTGAGAGGGTAATTTATGTGAACTGGGGCCGAGCTAGGTCCAGGTGTTGAAATGGACTGAGCTATGGGCCGAGGTAATGGGTTACATAGCTTGGTCCTTGGTCCCATTAGCTCGGTCAGAGATGGCTACTAGTAGCCTAGTTTGGGTACTCTAAACCGAGATATAAGTGGACGGAGGACCGAGCTAGGCGATGCCCAGGATAGCACAAAGCTGAGTGAGCGCGATTAAAACTGGTGTCAGGCAGGACAGTGTTAGCTTGGTTGTGCTGCTACCAGATCGTGGTGGAATCATCTCACTTGGTTAAGTAGTGAGGAGGGTGTAAAAAGATAAGCATTATCTTAGTGATTCCTAGGAGGACTCTACTAGGAAGAGTTGAAGTCCTACTAGGATTCTGCCAAGCGGAATCTATAAAAGCTCATGACAGGACCTATGTACAAGTATCTCAAGTTTTACTCTAAAAAACACAATTTTTTGTCTATTGTCTATTTGCTGACTTAAGCATCAGAGAGGTATCCGGCACACACCCGCCGGCTAGTTCACGTTTGTATTTTCAGGAAGAAAAGTGACGACGTTTGGAGGAGTGCAAACTTGATTAACAGGATTATACGAGAAGATTATTTCGTACTCGTACACATAACAAACATGTTTCGGGTATAAGCCTATATTCGTAGGCAAAGATCAGAGAAATTTCACTATGAATGTGGATCAAATTATACAAAGCTAGCTCTCTCTCGAGATCATTCTAACCCTACAACCTCGAAATAACCCCTTAAATACAAAGATTTGAAAAGTAGAAAACCAGGTCAAAATAGACCCAAATACAAATGATTGGTTGATCTTATTGGTCAGGAATGGTCGAGTTTTGTGGGTTGCCAACGTGTGAAAAGCAGGATTTGGGTTGAATTCAAGACACACTCAGATTAGACAATTTATTCCATTCTATGTAGTGAGCATTAGATTGCTCTAATCAATGTCAAACATCTAAATGGGGATGACTAAACCATTTTTTCAAGATAGCTACCATTAAATATTTTGAAGTATATATACTTACAGAAAGAAGATCAACTCCCGCAGGTTCGAGGCCTGGGACTTCTTCTGCCAGGTCCTGCATGGAATAATGGAAGCCAAGGTAAATATCAAACCTGTTAAGATGCTATAACAAGAAACAATCCAGTTCGATTCTGTCCAGTTGGGCTCATAGGCTCTACCACAGATCTCACTTTGATGATCCAAGTCATTTATTTTGTCAGTTCCATCATCGTAACTATACAAAAAATTATCCAATTTGTCTTCAAGAAAATAGACAGCTATTTTCAAAACAATATTGTGACTACAATTATTGGATCAAGTCGATTTTTTTAATGGATGATCTATACATAGAGATCTATAAGATGAACAGTTCGAATTATTAGAATGGAATCGTGGTGACAATTGGACAAAACAGGACTTCTCTCCAAGGGGAAAGAAGCCAGTTCCAACAAGAAGTGAAACTTTACAACAAACCTTCATTACCTGAGGAGGACTCTGGATTATTTCACAAAGGCAAGGAAACAATGAGGTCACTCCAGGCCAGGTTTCTTCATTTGGAGTGCCCAAAAGCCTAAATGTTTAAAAACTAGATGTAAGAAAGAACTTTACAATACAAGAAACATAACAAGGAATGGATGGGTGAATTTAAACTATATGGAACCTGAAAATGTTGAGTAATAGATCAGCCTCGCCACAACTGCTGAACATATACCGATGCCTCACCATTTCACCAAATATCTACAGGAGCAGAATACTGCCCATCGCCGAACAGGATTTCAGAAGCCATATAACAAAGACTTGCCACCTGCAGAGAACCACCAGCAATATGAGCAAAAACAAGTCACCTGTGAAATAACCAACCACCTACGAAAATTGTGCCTAGAGAGAGGTGAATAAGCCAATTTTACCAATTAATTCCAATTATGAAATAACCAAATGATTAATTGATTTCATGCCAATTAAAGAAGATATGCTTTCTTAGTTCAAGATAAAGAAGAAATTGTATCTTCCAAAGATGCAGTTGAACACTCTTGGATCAAAATAATCAGCTATTCCAAGGACAGCAAATACTGAAAACTGGCCTGAGAGGAACAATATTACCTTCTTTGTGTATATCTTGAGAGGGACATCAACTGACCTGGACATTCCAAAGTCTGCAATTTTCAGTATTTTATTTCGATCTATCAGCAAATTTCGTGGCTTCAAATCCTGATGGATAATTTTTTGTGAATGACAATATGAAACACCATGAAGAATCTGAAGCAAAATGTAATGCAAAAAGATAAATCAAAATGAACTCAGAAACTGAGAGGAAATACTTCTACAGCAAAACTATTATCTACTTCAATGACAAATCTCTAAGGCTATGTTTGGATCATGGATTTGAGTAGTGATTTGACATATTGCCAATAAATTAGCAACTGCAAAGATCTATACACCTCAATCTCCTAGGAAAATAACATAATATGACAGTAAAAAAATACATATACTTCAAGTTTGTCCATAATTATCCGTACAATATGTTAAACATTATCAATATAAAAACTTCTTTAATGCAAACAATATATATATATATGTATCCAAGGGATCAGTACAATTAACAAGAATCCTATTTGTGTGTGTGTGAGAGAGAGAGAGAAACTGACACCCAATGTTATGTGGTACATGAACTCCAATAAAGAAAATAGCATCATTCTTTGTAAGTTAACTGCATAAAAATCAATGTGGCTGAAAGAGGCTCACTTTTATGATGTGTAGGTCCTTAGCGGTTGATGGGAATTTACGCATGAACTCCCATAGATTGAATTCCAAATACTCGAGAACTAGAAGTATTTTGTTTTTATGATGTTGTACATCCAGCAGCCTGGAAAACCAAAACTCCATCAAAGAATTTGTCCATAGAATTCCATAAAATCATAGAAAATGACACATCATTAGTCCATCACTTCAAAGAAAACAGAAAAAGTTCAAAACAAAAATTAAAAAATCCAAATACCAATTGGTCATTACACACGGGGAATGACATGAAGCAAAGGAAAATATCGCTTTGAATCAATTGTATCCTATTGTTCTATGTTTTCTTGATTTTTGCAAAAAATGTTTAATCTCATGTTTTTTTTTATTATCAGTTAGTGAAATAATTATCTGAAACATTATTATGTAAAATTGATAATGTTCTTAATTTTAAAAATTAGAAAAAACCAATAATATTCTCAGTTTTACTATATGACTTATTAGCTCAAAAAATTTTAGATAGAATCTGAACTACCGTTTTAAATAACTAACTCTTTAATAAATAGGTTTAAAATTTTAATCTATCTCATCTTATAAACTTAAATATCAATCTCAAGCTTTTAAAAGTGCAGGTTATTTGGGCCATTAGGCTCCGTTTGGCAAGAGTTAAACAAAGGAGTTGGAAAATTCGAAGATCTTCGAGGATCCTTGAAGAACAACTTCGAATTCTCTAGAAGAAATATGAGAGGCTTAGATTCTTCAATAATCTCAACTTAGGAACACGACAACAAAGGAGATGATGGAGATAAGAGATTGGGTGAAGAAGAAGGCAAAATGGCTAGAGAATAGAATAATGGCAAGGCTCTCCCATTGATCTCCCACTTTCACTCTCAAGGTTGATAATGGAGAAGGGAAATTAGTTCTTTCCCAAGAGTTAAAAATCTCCAAAATCCATCCCTTGTAAAGCTATGGGTGGGTGCTATTTATAGGCACCTCATGATGTAGGATGGAGCCCATGTGCAAGGCACATGGGGGATATTTTCTCTAACCACCTTGTCCGAGGGGGTGACCTCTCCGAGGAGGTGACTTCTCCGAGGATGAGAAAACCCCGAAGAGGAGATCACTCCCTCGGCGAACCCTTCTTCTTAGCCACACCTAACCAATGATCCCCGATCATCCCAAAGGGTCAGGGGTAGTCCCAGAGGACGTCCTGCCGCAAAATATTGCCGAGTCTCATGGACCCCCCGGGGTCGTGCCACCTCGACCCGGGTATAGGCTAGTGTAACCGAAGAGTGAATTTATCTGCACTCACCGTCCTCGGGATCGGGTCCTTTGTTCGGACTCCATTACGCCCATGGTTCTGGTGCGTAGATCCCGGAAAGCTCCGAGCCCGCAAGTGTTCTGGGACTCATTAACGGAGCGACTTCTAGATTGCGTCTGAATCCGTTCGAAGCCAAGTACTTCGGATCTCTAGATTCGTGGATCCGAATCCTTTCGAGTCCGAGTGCCTCGGATCTCTAGGCTTGCTTAATACCCTTTCGAGTCCGGGCCCGAGTAAGTCTCTAGGTTCGTGGATCCGAACCCTTTCGAGACTTAGAGCGATTCAATCCGTTTGATGGCGATAAATCTAGGCCCACCGATTCTTGGACTTGCGATAAATTCGGGCCCACTGATCTTGGGCTATTGGGCCTAAATAATTTAGTGGGCTCAAATTAGCTCCTCTTACAAAATTTAAGAAATCATACATACACAATATATATATATATATATAAAGATTTACATTATGGCTCCTTTTGTTTTGATGCAAAATGTTTATGTAAAAAATATTTTATTAATTTTCTGTTGTTTGGTTGAGCAAAAAGTAGGTAAAACATTTTTTTAAAAAAAATATTTTTGCATCATTTTCTAAAAAATGACATATCTTTAAAATTTTCGTAAGTCAATTTTTACAAAGTTGACTCTCATTCATTACCTTTTCAACATATTTAGCCTTCTTAAATAAATATCTTCGCTTACTAAAAATTCATAAATAATACTTTATTGAATAAAAATTTCTCTTTTTAGGCAATAGAATGATTTTGTTTCAAGTGTCAACAAAATGCCGAAAAGCAAAACAAAAACATTTTTTTTTTATGTAAAATCAATTTATAAGAAAAATATTTTTTGTGTAAAATATTTTATGTTGAAACAAACAGAGCCTATGTTCAAAAAACAATTATAACTCTTTCACAATTAAAGCTACAAACGAACCATGATGTTTTTGAACAACTCGAGCGCGGTTCGTTTAAAACTCATTTGAGTTTGTTTCGTTTATTAAATGAATGAGCTCAAACTCAATTTTTAGACTTGTTTATTGATGAAGGTGTCTCAAGCTCAACTCGGTAAGGCTCGTGAATATAAAAAAATTAAATTAATATTTATTTTTAATGATATATCAAATAAATTTTTATTATTTTATTTTATTTTTCTATTTGTGTTTGATGTTTTTGTAAATTTACATATTTGATTTATGAAATTTATTATCAATATAAGCATTCTTGTGTATTTTGCACATAATTTTATAATTTTATCTTAATAAGTGAATTAATTTAAATTTAATAATTTTTTTTTTCAAGTTTGAATTCAAGTTCAAATTCAACTCACTTATGTAATCGAGTTGGCTCGAACTGATCTCATGTTTCTCAAATATTTGACAAGCCGTTCAAACTAGATTATTTAAGCTTGACATGAGCTTGGCTCGAGCTCAAACTTGACTAATTTTTAATAAACAAGATTGAACACTAAAAAAACTCAATTTGGGTTGATTCAACCTTATTCACATTACATAAAGTGTTTCTCATCTATTTAAAAGTATAAAAATTAAGATAAAAAAAAAACAGAAAATTACAAAAGTATATAAAAAATTCGGACCCCAAACCTTTTATTGGACCCAAGACTCAATGTTCGGAACTTACTAAGATTCACACTACCCAATAGTCACACAAATTGAACCAACGCCTTAACCACTTCAGTTGAGCCAAAGCAATAAAAACAAAAACAAAAACAAATATATCTTCATTGTACTTGTCATTATGTCATATGCCTTAACCACTTCACTACAAGAAAAGTGAGCTTAAAAGACGGAAGCATTTGCAACGGTAAACTTGCCGTCTCAAAAAGTGACTCTTGGCGACAACACAACTTGTCGTCGCGAAAAAGGTGACTTTTTGCGACGGTGCTATTTGCTGTCGCGGAAAAATAGAGTATTTGCGACGGCAAAAAATGCTGTCGCGAAAAAGGTGAGTATTTGCGACAGCAGAAATTGTTGTTGCAAAAAGTGAGAGTATTTGTGACGGTAGAAATTGCGGTCGCAAAAAATGAAAGTATTTGTGATGGCACTAGTTGCAGTTGCAAAAAAAAGTGAGTTTTTTGCGATTGTAATAGGTACCGTTGCAAAAAAAATAAATAAATAAAAAATAAAAAAAAATTCATTTCGTTTTTTTTTGTTTTTAGTGAATATTTTTAAAATTTTAAGCATTTTTTTACTTTTTTAGATGCATCTTACTTAGATGTGTCTAAAAAGTAAAATATTTGTGAAACAATATTTTTAAAAATTAATAAATACACAAAAATATGAAAAATGTACTGAATTTTTGTTTTTGTTTTTGTTTTTTTTTTTGTATTTTTGGTATTTAGTGAATTTTGGTTTAAAAAAAAATTCACAAACATTATACTATTTAAGTGTATTTATGCTAGGTGTGTCTAAAAATTAAAAAAAAAAATTACTTAAAATATTAAAAAAATTCAGTAAAAACAAAAAAATACAAAAAATAAGAAAGTAAAATTTTTTGAAATTTTTTTTAGAAAACTCAAACCAAGCAAAGTGATTGTAGCTTTGAGACGGCTTCATATATATAGTCACAAAATGATTTGAATAAATGCAACGGTATTTTTCCATCACAAAAAAAATTAAAAAAAATGACGTCGTCTTACTCTTTTGATATAACATTTCTCTTTTCACCAATTTTTTCATCTCTATGTCTCTCTGTCTCTGTCTGTCATTCATCTCTTTTCTCTCTATCTTTCTTGCTCATCTCTCTTCTCTCTATCTCTCTCATCTCTCTTCTACCTTTGTTTGTCTTGCTCATCTCTCTTTTCTCTCTTTTTCTATGTCTCTCTCTCGTTCATCTCTTTTCGCTCTCTTTCTCTCTTTCTTTGTCTATTTCTCACTCATCTATTGTTTTCTCTCTCTTTTTTTGTCTCTCTTTATCTCTTTCTCTCCTTGTCTCTCTCTCGCTCATCACTCTTTTCTCTTTCTTTCTCTCTTTGTCTGCCTGTCTATTTGTCTGTTTGTCTCTCTCCCATTATGTTCGCCTTGCTCACTCTTTTCTTCCCCTCTCTTCTCTATTTACCGAGCTCCCTCTCAATTTATCAATCTACTACAAGAAAATACATTTTTAGCGACCACATTGTCTCCCTCTCACTCTCTTCCTCTCCTCTTCTAGTCAATAAATTGTAACAAGAGTGAATGGTTTAGATCGCCGAAATCTGTTTCAAAATGAGCCCACAAAACCCAAAGTTGACATAACCAAATTAAGAGAATCGAAACTCTTTCCAAGGTTGAGGTGGTGGCCAGGTTTGGTTTGATTTTCTAAAACTTTATTCAAATTTATTTTTTAAAGACTAAAAATTAGTTTCGTGAAAAAATTTAAAAAATCAAAACTATCATACTTGTCAATTTTATATAATTTTACGAAGGATATGATCAGCTTGTTTGGTTTAGATTTCCAATATTTATTTTTCAGAAAATTAAAAATTTTTATTTTACGTGTGTTTTTTTTTATTTTATTTGATTTTTATGTTTTCGCTAATTTTTTTTTAATATTCTAAGCATTTTTTTTAATTTTTAAATACACCACACATAAATACACTTTAAAAATATAATATTTGTGATTTTTTTTTTATAAAATTCACTAAATTCTATAAATATATATATATGAAAATTTAGTACATTTTTCATATTTTTGTACATTTATTAATTTTTAAAATTTTTTTGGACAAATATTTTACTTTTTAGATACATATAAGTAAGGTGCATCTAAAAATATAAAAAATAAAAATTGTTTAAAATTTTAAAAATTCACTAAAAATAAAAAAAATAAAAAACTCAATTTTCAAAAAAATTGAAACCAAACAATTTTTAAAAAGGACCGTGCTAGAGAGCTCGAATTTAGCCCCTCCAAATCCCCCTAATTGGCGAAACAACGTCGTTTCGTCGCTTGAATTTTTTTTTTTTTTTTTTTTCTCAGAAATACAGAAGAAGAAGAAGAAAGAAAGAAGAGAAGAAGAAAGAAGAAGAGAAGAAGGTAGAGTTGGGACGACGATCGGCGGAGGCGGACGAGCTGCGACGACGATCGGCGAGCTGGGACGACGATCGGCGAGCTGTGACGACGATCGGTGATCGGCGGAATGGAGGGGCCTTTCTGTCTCTTTGTTTCCCTCTCTCCTCTCCTCTCTCTTTCTCCCCTCTTCTTTCTCCCTCTTTTTCTTCTCCATCTGTTTTTCGGGGGATTCCGGGGGGAGAGAAATTAGGGGACAAATCATTATTCTTTTAAAAATTCAAAAATACATTTTTTAAAAGAAAATCAACCAAACAGATCTCAATATTTTACCTCCCTCCCAAATTTCCCAATGTTCGAATTTCCCCCAAACCCTATCTCTCTGATTTCGTTTTCCCTCTCTCTCTTTTCATGCTCAACTCTAATGCCTTTCTTCGTGCGATTCATCATTTTCCTAAGTTCTCCCCACCCCACCTTCACGCAACTCATCTTCGTGCAATTCGCCGATGAGCATGGCTTCTCGTCATCACCGGTCTCTCCATAATAATTGGTGTGTATATCCTTCTATTTCTCTCTCTCAGTAAACCCTAACATTTATATATATATATATATATTATATTTGCCCTAGCCCCTTCACAAACACTGATCGGTCTCTTCGCTCTCTCTATCTCTCTCTCACAGTAATATGCCTGGTAAGAATCTTGAATGTACTCTCTTCGATTTCTTCTTTCGAATTTTAGCCCCTATTCTCTAATCAATTTCGGCTTTATTTATTTATTTTGAATTTTTCTCTGTATCAGTTTTTGTCGATTGATGCAATATGTTCCTTCTTTATTTTGTCAGAATTCATATTCAATTTGATGGGTTGTTAAATTATATATATTTATTTATGTTCAGCTATTTTTTTCGTTGGATTTCGCGGGGGTTTGTGTATGGATTTGTAGTGATTGAGCTCTGAGAGTAAGTTGATTAATCACTTTTTTATAGCTTTGATTTGTTGTGTTTTTGTTTTTGCTTTTGTTTTTTAGCTTGGATAATGAACATGGATGAGAACAAAAAATTATTGCTTGTTCTTGGAGCAATATTCCATGTCAATTATCAAAGGAAACCTCTGTATATATGGGCTAAAACACAAACAAAATTGGTGAACTCTAATGTTCAAACCAATCAGAACATCCAATAACTTCTCAATGAGAAACATTTTTTTTATTTTTATTTATAACATTGAATGCCACAAATGCCCAGAGAGGGCGATACGTAAATGTTTGCATTTCTGTTATTCAAAATATAGCTTCTCAAGTGTAGGAACAATATTTTATATACCAATTTTAGGGACAATGCTAATAGGGTAGGCTCTTTATTTTCATGTACCGTAGTGTATATATACCTTCTCTAGAAGTAGATATATACAACGCAATTATTACATGTATATGTATGACCACAACTAATTTTTTTTTTTTTTTTTTTTTTTTTATAACTAATGCCCAGGTTCTCTTACTCTATTCTTTATATATATAGCAGTATATATATTTTCCGTTTTCATTTTGATTATTCATGGTATGATTGCATCTAAAATCGTTCATGATATGATGGCATTAGATTTTAATTTATAATGTGCATATCCATCTGCCAAGTCATTTAAGTAAAAAAAAAGATTCCAACATTTTTGTGACTGGTATATTTTGCATTTCTTCATTATGTGTTCACCTGTTTATCTCTCTCTCTCTCTCATGTGGGAAATAGCCATCATGTTCAATCTAAAGAGTATGTTATGTATGTGGTCGTGTTTGTAAAGAAAACTACTTTCATATTTCATTTCCATCTATTGAACTGTGCATGTTTTAAAATCTAGCATTTTGTTGGCTGCTAAAATCAACTATACATCCTTTTTTTTATATTTCTTATATGCCTTTCATCTATTGTTTATTTGCCTTGTAGACTTACATAGTGTATGAACAAAATTTTCGACAGATTTTTCTTACTTTGTGTAATGTACATATATTAGCTTTTGCTTGAGTTCATTGATATACTACAAATTTTCATCTCTTTCTGCTGAAGTCAATGTTCTCATCCAATTATGATAAATAGGTGCAACTTGTAAATTCATGATTTCCAAATTACTACCAATCCCATCAGTTGGGTTTAGTTGATGAGAAGTGCAGCTGAAACACATTATGATCTCACTTATATGTTTTTGTTTAAATGAAATAATTGTATGCATTCTAACTACAGACTATTCATTTGTGTTCAAGTCTCTGAATCATATTAGTAGTAATCTCTTTTTAACATATCCCATCAGCTGGGTTTAGTTGATGAGAAGTGTAGCTAAAACACATTATGATCTCACTGATATGTTTTTGTTTAAATGAAATGATTGCATGCATTCTAACTGCGGACTATTTGTTTAAAAACATATTTTGCGTGCTTGCTTCATGGTGATGTAATATGGAGCCCTTTATATGATGGCATCATGAGAAGTTTCATTACACCAATGCATAATGCATATTTTGAGTGGACACTTGCACCTATCCATGAGAAACTTTGCATTTTCAGTGAGGGCTCTTTGAGGAAATTGGATAGTGTTTCTCATTTGAAGAGTTGAATTACATGTTCTGTATCTGTCTTCATAATGATCTCAGGTTTGTCTTGTTCTGATTTTTGACCTTTTGTTGTTTGATATTTTCAAAATTCTGTTTTATTTATTTTTTTTATACTTTTCTATTGTCTGTGGAAATTTTTAGGCTTCAAGGATTACATGAATGAAAATGAATGGTGCTTAGTTTTTTTTCTTTTTTGTGTTTCACTAAATTTTAAGGTGGTGATTAGGAATGCTTCAAGCTTTGATTAGCAAAAATACTAAGCTAAATCAAATAACAAGAGTGCAGAGACATCATATTGAACATTCAACTATGTAAGAAATATTGCAAACAAAGTAAAAAAAGACCCACAAATAGATGTGTTTGGGTAGACCCATTGGATAGGCTTTCTAATATTTATAATGAGGCTACTCCTTTAATTTAAACAAGCTTGAGGGGTGTCTAGGATTCCCAGCGTTGTGGAGTGGGTTCGAATCTTGGAATCAGCCTCTCTACAAACATTTTGGGGAAGGTTGCCCGCTTATTCCTATCCTAGACCCTGTTGTGAGTAGGGAACCTTATGCATTGAGTACAACCCCTTTTTATTTGTAGGAAACTAAGAGAAATATGATGTTGGAACTTTGGGCATCATGGTGCTGTTATTATTATAATTATTATTATTAATTCTATTTGTTGCGTTTAAAATTCTTCAGATGAGTTTGAAATACAAATTTATTTGTTAGGGAAAAAAAAAAAGAAGGTATAAGGTTTGAACTACATCATTGAACAATTTTAAGCTAGTAACATTTTCATTTATTTGTTGAACATACTTATAAAGCTCTTGGAACATATTAGAGGGTTCTCACAAGTCATAATGGTGTTAATTCTTACCTTGAAAATGCTTCTTTGCCTAAAAGATACATTAATCTCTTGTAGGTGGAATCAACAATAGAACACATCTGTCGTCATGAAAGTGATGGAGCCATTCTTGTATTCCTCACTGGTTGGGATGACATTTCTAAGCTACTTGAAAAAAATTAAAGCACACAGTTTACTTAGAGATCCCAGCAAGTTTCTTGTTCTTCCTCTTCATGGTTCAATGCCTACCATCAATCAATGTGAAATATTTGATCGCCCACATGCCAATGTGAGGTATCTATCTTTCTTGTTGAGGTTTTATCTTTTGGTAAAGATTTATGATACTTTTTTTTTATTTTTTATTTTTATCCTTAGCGAATGAATTAAATTTATTTTTAGCATTTGGATTTTTTCCAAAGTCATATTTTTTTCTTGTCTCTTCAATTGCTTAGCTGTGTACTAACTTATGGTGATTCGCCATCAAGGCTAGTTTTTTGTTCATAGTTGAAGTGTACCATGTGGCGTAGATTTGCCATCGGGTTATTTTTCATTTGATGTATGCTTGTTTCCATTTCGTTGGGAGATAGTGTCTTCATTTTCATTTCTTCACAAATTGACTCTAAAGTTCTAAGTGGATGATTAAACAGGGGATGATGGTTGAATTTGCAAAGAATGTGGCTGATTTTGCTACTGCTAGTGGAAAAAAGCACATTGTTGTGCTTTCTAGCTTAGATTTTGGACGATGGCAAACAATTGATATGTCAAGGTACTAACAACTGCAATGTTTTCTTTGATCATTTTAGCTTCTTGACCACTCTCTCTCTCTCTCACAGTTTCTTTTTCTTTTTTTTCTGCTGTAACTATTCCCTTTCATTTACATTTTTTTCTTTGAGAAATTTGCTGTTAGTATTTTAATTTTCATATTTGAAAATCCTGCAAACCACCCCAATTCATTTTTAATTGGTTATTGACACCATAGAAACATGGAAATTGGTATATAAAAATCATTTGACAAAATGCATGATTCTGCAGATATCAAATATTGTGAGATTAAAAAATAACTGGAACTCATAAAAAGCGAAGATATTCCTTATTCTAACAATCATTCATGTAAAAACTGATTCAATGATCATCTTTTTGAACTCTTTTACCTGTGCAAAAGTGTATAAACCAGCTAGGTCCATTGTGTAGAGTTGCCTAAGCCATTGACAACATTACTTTGATTACTTGGTGATTTGTTTCGAATCGGGTTCTCAGTTTGGGAGTTAGAGTCGGATTTCACTATAGGCAAACTAGTTCATTAAGAAACTTAGCATTTGAGGTGTTGACGCCCCAAAATCACCAAACGGCATCGGATTAGCACGAAACTTGGCACACACGACTGCCTAGGCACGAGAAACTTGTGGGAGAAGATGAGACTCGAATTGGGTTCCCGGCTTGAGAGTTAGAGCCGGATTTCACTCTAGGCAAACTAGTTCCTTAAGAAACTTGAATTCAAGGTGTTGAAGCCCCAAAATCACCAAACAACGTCGAATTAGCACGAAACTTGGCACACATTACCGCCTAGGCACGAGAGACTTGTGGAAGAAGACGGGACTCGAATCGGGTTCCCAGTTTGGGAGATGAGCCGAATTTCACTCTAGGCAAACTAGTTCCTTAAGAAATTTAGCATTTGAGGTGTTGACGCCCCAAAATCACCAAACGGCGTTGGATTAGCACGAAACTTGGCACACATGACTGCCTAGGCACGAGAGACTTGTGGGAGAAGGCGGGACTCGAATCGGGTTCCCGGTATGGGAGTTAGAGCCGAATTTCACTCTGGGTAAACTAGTTCTTTAAGAAATTTGAATTCAAGGTGTTGACACCCCAAAATCACCAAACGGCATCAGAGTAGCACGAAACTTGGCACACACGACTGTCTAGTCACGAGAGACTTGTGGGAGAAGACGAGACTCAAATCAGGTTCTCGGTTTGAGAGTTACAGTCGGATTTCACTTTTAAGAAATTTAAAATTTGAGATGTTAATGCCCCAAAATCACCAACCGGCGTCGGAGTAGCACGAAACTTGGCACACACGACCGCCTAGGCACGAGAGACTTGTGGGAGAAGACGGGACTTGAATCGAATTCCCGGTTTGGGAGTTAGAGCCGGATTTCACTCTTAAGAAATAAACTAGTTTCTTAAGAAACTTAGAATTCGAGGTGTTAATGCCCCAAAATCACCAAACGACGTTGAAGTAACACGAAACTTGGCACACATGACTGCCTAGGCACGAGAGACTTGTGGGAGAAGACGGAACTTGAATCGGGTTCCCAGTTTGGGAGTTAAAGTCGGATTTCGGTCTAGCCAAAATTATTTACATAATTATCTTTGTAATTGTATTGTAGTTAAATTTTTATGTTTTTTTTTTTTTTTGTAATTAACATATTAACACATAATTATATTGTTAATAATTATTTTTATTTTTTATTTTCAGATATTTTTCGAGTAGGAGTTTGCTTCTTGTGGAATGCATGTCTGTGAAAAATGTGACTAACTTATGTTTTTGTTACTCACGGAGAATGATGAGCAAAACTTGTAAGTTTGGTTTATGTTATTTTGAATTATGAACAACATTATGTATTTAAACATTATATATGTATTATGGAACATTATGTAGGGGGGTAATTTTGTTGATGTGTAATTATGAATGCAAAAATATTTTTATTATGGAGAAATTATTTTTTTTATACAGAAATTTTTATATTATTATGCAATTATTGGTTTCTTTTTCAATTGCTTTTCATTTAATAAAGGTAATTTTAATATTTTTAATAATTTTATTGTAGGATTTTTATTATTTATTTATTTTTGGCGACGGCACCACGCTATCGCAAAAAACTTGTAATTTTAATTTTTTAATAATTATATTGCTCTTTTTTTTTTTTTTTTTTTTTTTTTCGAATTCGAAATGCCATGCTATTTTTACTTAATATTCATATTTCATATGGCGAAGGCATAGTCTTTTTTTCAAAAAAAAAAAAAACCCATTTGCGATAGTATTTTTTGCTGTCTCAAATAGAACTTTTACCGACGGTAGAATGGTGTCGTCGCAAAAGGTTTGACTTTTTTACATATTATATGCGCCAGTTAATTGCCGTCGCAAAAGGTAACATTTGTTGTCACAAAAAAAAAGGCGACGGTGCTTAAAGGTTTTTGCAACGCTCTTTGTTGTGACGTCCCCTTTGTCGTTGCTAAAATTCATTTGCTGTCGCTAAATTTTTTTTGAGACGGCATTAAGAGTATTAGCGACGGCAGCATGCTGTTGCAAAAACCCGAATTTTTGTAGTGTCAGTTGAGCCAAAGAAATAAAAACAAAAACAAAAAAAAAAACCAGACATTCACTATAAAATTAGATCAACAAATCAATAGTTCCAAAGGCTACTATTTCCATAAAAGATTGCTATTTTGTCTATATATTATCTTTATTACGTTAATTATAATGAGGATATCAACAAAGCTGTGTTGCATAATTTTTTTAAAAAATAACAAGTCCTGTCACCCTGTTGTACAAAAAGATATTATACATGTTTGTGCAACTTAAAATACGAGTGATATTTTCAAGGGACATGAAAATGATCTATTCTCAATGAATCATGTGATATATCAACCAAAGAACAGAAGTGCCACAGAAGTCTCAAAACTTTGATTACGAGAAACAATGAATTTGCTTTTTATGTTTTTGCTTGGAGTAATATTACGAACCCATCTTTATTAATTTAGAAATTATCCAATATTTTTATTTTATGATTCAGATTTATTTTACACATGGATTGCATACTATACAAATTTAATCCTTACCATACAATCATTCACTCAAAAAAATTCTAGATCGGTAAATCTGAGTTCCTAGAATTTTCCTTGCCTTTTATGTTTGTTGCTTTGCTTATTAGCTTCAATTGATTCTTTTAGCTAGAGTCGGCTTAAAGTCAAAGTTAGTAAATACCTGTTTGGCGCAGCTTAAAACTGTTTATTTTAACTTTTAGCATAATTTAAGCTAAAATATTGTGTTTGGTGTAACTTAATTTATCATATTATAGCTTAATTTAAGCCATTTTCAGCTTATTTTGGAAAGAAGCTCAGGGGTGCTTATAAAAAATGACTTATGTGCGCAGCTGGTAAGAGGGGACTGAAATGACTTAAATGCCCATTCAAAATTAAGGAAATTACGAAACTGCCATTATATATACCCTCTTCTCAATTGCCCTAACGCTCTCTTCTCCTCTTCCACTCTCCTCTCCTCTCTGGCAACCGACGACGAACTCCTCCACATCTCCAAGATCGTAGCCGATCGTTCAGTTTGGCCCCTTGTTTTCTGTTGATCTGCATAAAGAAGGTAAGATTTCATGCCCTTTATATGTTATATATATATATACACATCGATCAGGCTCTTCTTGTCTCTTTCTTGAACCCTCTGTCACAAACACCACTCTGGTCAGGTCTTTCTTTGACCTTCTCGCCCTCAAATCTCTGTTCTCAGGCCCATCTTCGTTGTTATAGAAGTAGATGCCCCTTTCAATTTCTTGAAAATAGAAAAAAAAAAAAAAAAAAAAAACCTCAAAAATCTCATCTTTATGTTTCTTTGATTTGGATTTTATATAGTCAAAGTCCATTTCTTGTGACTGGGGTTTCTGATCTTCTTTCAGATCTTCTAAACCATAGGTTTTCTTGGGTTTTTTTAAGTTTCTTGAACTACCAAATTCTGGTTTGCTACTCTGTTGTTTGAGAAGGGAAATTTGGAGGTTTCTAGGGTTAATCAAATCACAACATTGAACTATTGAAAGATCATGTTTTTTCGTAAGAAGCTTCCCAAGATTGCAGCGTAATTGAACTCAGCTTCCTTTAAATGCCCTACTCTTTTAGTTTGAGCTGGGAATTTTGGAGGTTTCTAAGGTTAAACCAAATTACAATATTAAACTATTGAAAAATTGTGGCTTTTTGATAGAAATTTTCCAAAATTACAAGACTGCAGAAATTTTCCAAATTTTCCAAGATTACAATTTTCCAAGATTGTGGCTTTTTAATAGAATTTTGGAGCTTTGCTTCTATGATGTATTGATTGACTGGTGAGAATCATGTAGTTGGCTTATTCTTTTTCCTCTTCAGAATACATTGAGATACCAATTGAAAAAAAATCTGTGAATACATTGGCTTGTTCTATTTATTGGCTTGTTCTTTTTCCTCTTGCTCTGTGAATGCATTCAGTTGGAAGAAGAATTTTTTTTTTTTTTTCTGTGATGAGTACAACTTATGAATTCAATGCTCAGCCTCATGAATTCCTATCTGATTTGCCAAATCCAATGCTTAGCCTTATAAGCTCCTGTCTCATTTCAAACTATGGATTAATGAATTGATGAATTCCTGTCTCAGCCAAATCCAATGCTCAACCTCATAGCTTTAGGTTATAATGAATTAATGAATTCTTGTCTCATTTCAAACTATAGACTTTAGTTTATATTTTATACTTCATTTCAAATTAATGAATTCCTGTCTCAGCCAAATCCAATGCTCAGCCTCATAGCTTTAGGTTATAATGAATTAATGAATTCTTGTCTCATTTCAAACTATAGACTTTAGTTTATATTTTATATTTCATTTCAAATTAATGAATTCCTGTCTCTTTTAGAATAATGTTAGAGACATTTTATTGTTTGAGTCTTTTTTTGGTTCATATGTAAGGTGTGTGGTTAGATTTGTGTGAGAAGTATGATCTCAATCATCTTTCATAAAACTGGAATCAGAAAATGACCAAATGAAATATATTTACAATTAACTTCCCAATCAATTTTAGAGGATTTGGATTCAATTTTTCCTAATTAATGCAGAGGCATGTCATCCTCTAGTAACTATTCTTCTAATGCTGAGACCTTGGACTTGAGATATGAGGCTTTGAAATGAGATTGTGGTCTAAGAGCTACCATAAGGGTTACCGAGTCTGACAAGCCATCTAAAATGAGATTGTATTTCATTTGTGAGAAGAGAAATTGTCAATTTTGGAGGTGGTGTATCCCAAAATCTGTGACGATGGTAAAGAGGCTGAGGAACGAGAGAATATTTGATCAAAATCAAAATATGGAGACTGTAGGACTGAAAGTCAAGAACCAAATGCTTAAGCAATCCAATGCTTTCATGAAGCAGTTTGTTATGAGTCTGCTCACAAATTGTATTGTTATGTCAGTTGCATTTCTCTTCAAATGATGATAGATGTCGTTTAGAGATACCTGGTGTTTTTGTGCTATGTAGTTTACCATGAACTGTTGTACTAAGCTTTGTACCCAATTAATGTTGATATGTCTATCGTAGTTGCCATGTATAGTTATTTTGTACTAATCTAGCTGTTGTAATGTAAGCAATGATGAATGAGTTTGTTTGAAAGAATTTTTTTCTTTCATAGAATGAGTACCCAAGAGGAAACACAATTTGAAAATAGGAAGAACAATGGAAAACTAAGTCAAGGACCATCCGTTAAAGCTCACTAGGATGCAAATCAAATGAAATTTTTATTAAGCTTTGTGTTGAGCAAGTGAAGGCTGGACACAGACTTGGTACACACATAGATAGGATCGGGTGGGAAAATGTATAACTAAGTTTAAAAGTATGACTGAAAAAGCATACCAACGAATACAAATGAAAAATCGTTGGGATGTGTTGAAAAAAGATTGAACTTTTTGGAATAATCTGTTAGTGAGACAGGCTTAGGCCGTGATACATTGACTGGAGCTATATCTGCATCTGATGAGTGGTGGACTAAGAAATTGGAGGTAAGTGAATTGTTTAATGTACATATTTTGTTTGTTTTTGGTTTGAACAAACCAAATTTTGTTACTTGAAATTGTGAAATTTTCCTTTGTAATTGTTGCAGAGGTATTGTGACAACTCTCACTTCTGATTAGTGTTAAACTGTGATTAAGCATGATAAGTAACTGATTAAGATGAAATCCTGAATTGATTGCATGAGTATGTGATTTACTTGCATTTCTATCTGTTCGTTATTGAATGATCTGTTCATATTTTAATTGTGAATTGAAAGCCTTTTCGGCGACCGATTTCGAAATTGATTAGTGTTATATGCTAATTAGAATTTATATGATTTTATGGTAGGTTTAATTAAAATTCAATTTGGAATGATTAAATTAGATTAAATAATGCTAGATTAATTGGATATAGGTTATTTACATCATTGCCACTAAGTGGATTAATCCAAGGCCATTTTTTCTCACACTTCACACATGTTTGATACACCACTCTTCAGCCATCTTCTTGTAAAAACGTGGAGAGAGAGAATTGGGAGAAAAATTGAGTTCAACAAGAGATTTGCTTGGGAATTTAGAGGAACCAAAGGAGAATTGCATATTTGAGCTACCACATTTGGAATTCAAGACTTAAGGTAGGAAATTCATTCCCTCAATTATGAGTTTAAGTTGTTTCATGCTTGGTTTATGGAAGAATTGGGGATTTGAGTCAAGAATTAGCTTAATGTGTTAATTTAAGAGTCCATTCATACATGCATGTCCATATTATGGAGATTTGAAGTTGTTTTGCATAAAATTCTTGCATGCATGTCTAGATTATGGTTGTAATTTAAGAATTCGTCATGTTTTTGGAGTGAATGGCTCATTTAATCATGT